TACAAACACAACTTTATTATCACTGTACAAACACAACTTTATTATCACTGTACAAACACAACTTTATTATCACTGTACAAACACAACTTAATCACTAAAGTGACTTAATTTAAATGTTTCTACCACACAACCCAAATTCAAACCTACTTCGCAAACATTACTATGTTCCAACAACAGTTTGTTTCTCTTGTTGAAAATAGACTCGCTTGCGAGTCCAAATATCGTCTAATCATCTGAGATGTCTCCCTCCATTGTCCGTTGTAGTGTGGTTGAGTCGTAGTGGGCAGGTGTGCACCAGGACAAATATGGGGTTCGTCACGTGACGCACACTGACACAAAATATTCCATAGCGTTACAACCTCAGTGACCTTTGTTATTCTATTTGGACCAATAACAGCAAAGTCTGGAAAAGCTGCACAACGAAATTGTATCATTTTAGTTAGCCTAGTTTAGAGAGCCTCTAGCACATGCTCACCCTAACCGCTAGATATATTAACCAATATATAACTAACCAATATGACTAATCTTTTGCCTTGAATCACCAAACACATTATTACTGGATAAATGGATGTACGTCTGGTAAACAATAAAACACTGAATCAAACTTTGTGTTGATTGATTATCACTTTTCCTCGCTCTGACTCAGCTCTGTGATCCGCACGCCGTTTACGCCTGTTGGTTGAGTTTAATAGCACTGTTAGCTTGTTTATTATATCAAAATGTTTATTTAGTTGTTTATTGTGGGTGTTCAGTTGCTCATTAAGTAGCAGCATTACAGTGATTGATATTGATTTTATTTACATTATTATGGGGTTTAATGGATCGTATTTGAAATAATATTGTTTGTTTGAAATGCTTATGGAAACCTGTAATTAGCAGTTATTAATTTAAAATTTGTGGTTAAACTAAAATTAATTTTTAGATGTACTGATGCTTTCCTTTATTTGAATGTGAATAATAATTATCTATGATCATTTATTTAATTTGTTTGAGTATTAAAGCTGCTGGAATAATAATATGGAAAGAAAAAATTTAAATCTGAATGAAAATTGTTGCTAATACTGAACTGTAAACATGTTTTTTTCTGATTTTATGGTTTCTGTTTGAAGGTTATCAACCTGATAAAAAGAACTTTGTATGAATCCTGGCTGTGAAAACTTCAATAAATACAAAGAAAGAAGATTGAAAGTTGAGTTGTCCAGCGTCCTCTGTGATCTCCGGAGCCTTTTTCTAGTTTGAGGCAGAAACTGATGAAAAAACTCAAATAACTAGACATTAATTCAGCAGTTGTGTGATTTCTGTGTTATTCTTTCTGTACGTTCTCATTATAATGACTTACACACTCTTTTTCTTGTTTATGTCACATTGGCAGTAAAGGGCTTCCAGTTAGGAGCCTGAACAAACAGAGTGAGTTTGTTAATGTACCTCCCTGTTAATGTACCTCCCCAGCGTGAAGTGATTCGCTGGATTAGAAACTGATTGACAGCTGGTTCAGGCTGTGTATTGCTGGAACTAGGGGATTGTAAGCCTCTGATTCGTCAGATTAAAAATGATGTTAGTAATCCCGCCCCCTCAAAGTGTCGGTCTGCAGAGACACAGACTTGAACTTTAGCAGCAGTTGAGATTAAAAGACGAGGAAGTCAAGGCAGGCAAGTAACTTGTTACGGTTTGACTTTCCTCTCTGCTCTCTTTCCTCTCATTAAGTGATCACAGGATAAAAGAGGCTTTGTGACATAAAACCACTAACCCTAACCCTAACCCTCTTTTGCTTCCTTGTATTTATAGAATGGGGAACTGGTTTTCGGCTGCGTCTCCGGAAACGTCACGGCATGGTAATGTGGTTTATAACGTTCCTTCATGTGCCACTGATTTGTTTACGTGCACTTCCAAAGAGAGAATGAGTCCTGTGGTTTCTGTTGCTGGGACCGGGACTTTGTGAGCTCCGTCTGAGTCAGGAAGTCAGCAATAGTTCAGAGTATGAGTCATCCTAAGCATTATCCTGCCTTCCTGGTGGAAATGGTGCTCTGTGTAGCCCGGGGTTTGGGTCGACCTGTGGCACTTTGCTGCATGCTCTCCCCTCCCCCTCTCTCTCTGTCTCCCTTTCCTGACACTCTTCAGTTGTAACTGTCCTTTAAAGGCAATTAAATCCCCCAAACATATATAGATACATAAATATATAATAAAAAATGTCTGTTGCTCCACCACAAGCTCAGATTTACGTACCACAGAAATACCCACTGCTTCATTTAGAAGTGAATCCAGTTTAAATGTAAGTGTGTCCGTCCATGTATCACATATTAAAAACCAGCTTTATTTGTTCTGGATCTTTCCTAAATCAGCTATAACTAAACTGAATATCTGAACCCCCTCAGACACGGTTCAGGTGTGGATGAGTTCCTGGTTCCTGATCGTTTGTCTTTTTTCAATCAGCTGAAACTCAGAGGGAAGCAGGAAGCTCGACAGTCAGCGCCCACAGCGGGGGTGTGGTCAACACACCTCGGCTCTCTGGTGTTCATGTGGGAGGGAATATAAACATCAACACATATGGTAAATATACTTCATGTTCAATTACGTGTTAATGAAATGTCTTTCGTTATTTTACATTTCTTAAGAGCTGTTTCTGTTTCAGTCCAACAACCTGCCAGCACAGAACAGACTCACCACATTTCTCCCACAACCGAAGGTATTGTACTGTTTAAACAAAAAGATACAATTTATGTTAAACTTACATATATATAATGCTCCTCTAATATTGATCACATGGTAACAGGAAGTGGAAATGGCTCCTGAATGAATCCAACTGTATATTTGCTTCACGGTACTACTACTACTACACAAGTAGAACGCAGTGATAACAGTCTAAAAAGAGGTCAAAAGAAGGAGTCACATGTGTACTTGTTATTGGTTGTAAACCTCGAGATCTGTGTAAAGAGTTATTGAACAACAGTGTTTGTTCTGTTTGTCTCTTAGATCTACATCAAGACCGTCAGAGGGAGTCGCCACAGAAGAGGTTGTTGTCAGTTCGGGCACAGTTTGTTAATTCAGCGTCTGAACCTGTTCTAAAGCAGCTGCTGGATGAACTTTTTCAAAAGAAAATCATAACTCAAGAAGAAATGGATACGGCCAGAACTAAAACCAAGGCTGAGATGGCTCGAGATGTGATTGACATGGTGCGAAACAAAGGACCAGAAGCCAGTTTGTTCCTGATCGAGGTCCTCAGAGGGCTGGATCCATACCTCGCTGAAACTCTGGGCCTGAGCTGAAGTGGAAATGAGAGTATGAGAGTAAAGCTTTGTTTGACTTTGGTTGGGGGACCAGGGAGGAAAAGTCAGTTTGATTTTTTTATGTTGCGCTCCTGCCCCCCTAAACTGGGACGTAACAGTCCTCTTAAGATTAATTTGGCCACAGTAACAGTTCAAATGTAGTAGAATTGAGTTTGTTTTACAGAAAATTAAAAAAATTCTGATTCATTTTTTAATTTTATTTGATAAATTCAGGAAGTATCAAATCAAAACATCCACAGAGCGACCAGATTGATCATATACCTTTCCACTACCCTACCTTAACCCCATGAGCTATGAATCCAGGTGAATTCTGCTATAATACAAATAATCAG